TATTAGGTAATTCACACAGCTGTGAGACAGGTTCATTTGTTCTATATGACAATGTCGCCAGAACTGGATTTCTCCTCCGGCTTTCAAAAGTAAGTGTTTGGAACCAATCTTGGAATGCTAACTTTTTATTTTGCCAGAAAAGAACATTAAAAAAAGCAAACAACCTAACTATAATGACCATTATTTCAAAAAAGTCATTTCAACAACAAAACACCTAGGGAAGACAGTAACAGAATAAAGATCTTTTAAATTTATTTTGATGAAAGTACAAAAGGAAATAAAACCTTGCCCTTAACATTGTCCTTAACCACCTCATTTTGTTCCAGACATAATTTGAGAAACACTGAACTAACAATTGCTTTGATACAAAACACAATCCCTTCACCTTCACTACTTGCTATTCATAACAGTAAGAAGAGAGACATTTTATATATAAATACAGACACTTAGGGCAATTTTAACCTTTTTATTATTATTATTTTTTTTTATTAGCCTATATCATGCTTTAGTATTTTAACCTTAAGCAAACCTAAAAGTGGGCTTCAATCCTGTATTTAAAAGTTATCACTTCTACTCTCAAGTCAACTGTTTAAAAACAGCTATTTGCCTTGGTGAAATACTAAATCAAACAAAACTAAATTCCTTCTCTAAATTGAGATGCTGGATAGTTTTATTTTCTTCTCAATATAACAGGATTTAAAAAATCTTTTTTAGTATTTCTATGAGAAAACCCCCCAACACACAACTAAGCTCATTACAGCAACACTCATATCACAGATGCCACATTTTCTGTCTTGGTTTAGAAAACAGGCAATAAATGACCCACGAATTTGGTAATAAAGAATTAGATTAACTACATTTTAAAAAAGCAACAGAATTATATGCATCTAATTTCTAAAAAATATAAAAAAGCAACAGAAGACATTAAATTTATACTAATATACTTTTCAGAAACTGAGTTTTTACTCCCTTGAAAAAGCTTTACACTTTGCCATAATTACCTCTAAATTCCATGTTAGGCACAATAACCTTTTCACAGATACTTGTCAGCGTGTTCTGGTCCTCAAACAGATTCTTATAATGAGGTCTCTCACAAACTGAAGCCAGAAATTGAATTGCATTACTTACCAACTGGAACAAAACACAAAAACAGTAAGATTTTTAAAAGCAAAAACTGAGCAGTTTATTTCTTGGGGGAGATGGAGAATGTCTTTTAATTATTTGTCTCTACCATCTTACCAAATCATATTTAACTTCTTGACCTGTTGTAACTAGTAAATTCCAGATGGCTGTGACAAAACGAGGCAGGTACCGTTGAAATTCTTCATCATACTTCTGTGCATAGAGTGCAGCATTATCACAAATCTGGGATTTTAAGAGCTCCAATAAGCCTGCTTCCTCTTCATCCTTACATAAAAGAAAAGAGAAAACTCAAACATACAACTCTAGTGCTACCATCAATCAGGGGAGTAGCTGAATTCCTGAATTAGACTCTTTAAAATTTAAATTCAGGCCGGGCGTGGTGGTTCACGCCTGTTATCCTAGCACTCTGGGAGGCTGAGGCGGGTGGATCGCTCAAGGTCAGGAGTTTGAGACCAGCCTGAGCAAGAGTGAAACCCCGTCTCTACTAAAAATAGAAACTTAGCTGGACAATTAAAAAACATATATATAAAAAATTAGCCAGGCATGGTGGCACATGCCTGTACTCCCAGCTACTCAGGAGGCTGAGGCAGGAGGATCGCTTGAGCCCAGGAGTTTGAGGTTGCTGTGAGCTACCCTG